TCAGCTCCATGCATGAAATTTTGTTGGTGGGTACAGGGTTGGTTTCCAGTGGGTTATAATACCATCTGCCATTGTTTTGTGCAGGAGGGAGACTTTTAATCACCTTGCAAGTTGGCTGGAGGATGCAAGGCAACATGCTAATGCAAATATGACGATCATGCTAATTGGTAACAAATGTGATCTTGCTCACAGGAGGGCAGTAAGTACCGAGGAAGGTGAACAGTTTGCCAAGGAACATGGATTGATATTCATGGAGTGTTCAGCAAAAACTGCTCAAAATGTCGAGGAGGTACTTGCCTTTATCGAATGTTGTAATGATTATGATAAGTTCATTTAAGGAATCCCCAATTCTTTATAACCTATTTTTTTGAAAACTCGGTTTTAGGCATTCATAAAAACTGCTGCTACAATCTACAAGAAGATTCAGGATGGAGTGTTTGATGTATCTAATGAGGTAAGGTTTTCCTTGCATGGAACACCTTTGATTTAAAGCTTTGACAATGGAAGATTCTTATGACCACTTTAGCTGATGCCTCTCCTCCCCCATCATATGGTCTTTTAGATTTTCCATTTTGAATGTGTTAAATCTAATTGATAATAGACATCTCTTTTTTTTTTTTTTTTTTTTTTTTTTGAGGAAATAATATACATCTATTTTAGCATGTAGTGTTTTGTCACCTTTTAAATACGTCACTGTCTTAAATGCTCATAATATTGGCTGGTTGTTTAACTTAACTTCAACAATAATTAAGAAAAATGAGTAAAATAGGAGTCACTAATACTCAAATCCAAGATCAATTTCTTGTAAACTGTACTTCAAGCAAGATTGGTGATAGTAACACCAAGATACCTTATAAAGAATTTATGATAAAAATGCGATCTACCCTAGAATGAGTTTGCTATTAAAAAAATTCAGACTCCAAAATTTACTAATACACTAAGCGTGTACCATATACTTTTCTTTGCTCTTGTGCCTCTGCACACTGTCTATGCCTCAAAACCTCAATGGATGATGGATCATAGTTGGGCCTAGTGTGGTCCCTATGTGTGCAACTGTACTCTTTAATAATCAGGATCAATAGGGAGGTTCAAGCTAGCAAAATAAAGATCTTGAAAGGAAGATCAAATGAACATTTACAAGTTACAAGTGACAAATATGTGAACAAATTACTAAAGAATTTATCTGTTTAATTTATCATTTCAAAAAGGCAGGTGGGGTATTAAGAACGGAAGTTATGTTACCAAGCTAAGGTATTTTCACTAGGAAGTCATATAAGAAAAACACTGGCACAGAAAGGATGATGTGAAGTGGGGCAAGCACACTTATAAGCCTCATGAGGGGGAGGGGAGTTGGGGTTGGGAGAGGGGGTGGAAATTTGCTTTGGGCCATATGCATGAATCCTAGAATTTGGAATTTGGTGAATTATGTCATGTCACTTCTCATTGTTTTTCTTGGGTCCTTCACATTTTCTCTCTTTTATCTTTGGCTTCTTATCAATAATAATTAATAAAGGTCATGAGGTCATAAAGTGGTGTGATAATTTATTTGGTGTCAATGCATTGTAAAAGTGTGGAGTATATGATTGGAACAGAATGGCTTAATTATTTATGGAGCTGCTGTCTTGTGTGATTTTCTCTGGGACAAAGAAAATTTGTTGGTGTTATCATGGGCATAGGCTGCTGGGGCTTTTAAGAATTAATGGAGTGATATAAAGGAATTAGATTAATTTGTAATTTGTCTTTGGTGTTATCATGGGCATAGGCTGCTGGGGCTTTTAAGAATTAATGGAGTGATATAAAGGAATTAGATTAATTTGTAATTTGTCTTTCTTTATTATTTCCTCATGATATGTACCTATCTTGGTTGATTGATATGGTTCTTTTTCAATCAATCAATCAATCAAAGCCTTAATCCCATAAGTGGGGTCGGCTACATGGACCAAAAGTGATTATTCCGTATAGTCATCGACAAAAATCTTCCTCCTCCATCCCTTACGGTCCAATGCCTCCAATAATATAATATGATACTACATAATTAAAGTGGTGCAATATGTTTTCGTCATTGCATCTATTGCTTTGACATAGTGAATTTATTCAATCTAAATGCCTCTTTTGAGGCATATTTATGAACTTAGATTGACATTCCAAATCCTAATACAATGGTCTTTGTTTAACCCTACTTGAAACCCTTTGGACTCTTGGGCTTTTCAAATAAGGTGTAGCTTTCATTGGAAATTTATTTGGCATGTAACTAAATTGATTTCCTGAGATATATGCATCTTTCTTAATTCTTGTCTAAATCCAATTTTTAAAGTCAAGACTTAATGTCCCTGCAGTGGCAATTTTGCATCATAGCAGACTTGACATGTTTATATAAAGTTGGATGCTCGACATGTTTTTTAGATAGTTACATACTATGTCTCCCTCCCTAATTGTTAGTTGCGTTTCTAGTTTCTATTAGTTTTGATTGTAAATGTCTAATATCTCATTTCTCTTCTACATATCCTCATTTCCTTATGTCCCACAAGTTGAATATTTGGAAGTCCAATTGTTGGGCAAATGATTCTACTAGTACACACTTAGCATCTTATGTTTGTCTCCTTGTACACTGTACTCGAAACTCTAACATACACATGACTATATGGGCTTGGTATCATCATCCTTGTTCCCCTCAGGAAGGAGGAAAATGTATTTGGGAGGGTTTCAAGTGCATTTGGTCTCTGCTGCATGCTGAATGTGTCATTGGGTTTATCTATTCACCTGGAAAGATCTATCCATTTATTTTTATAGTTTCAATTGATCAGCTGTTTGGAAACTTTTTCCTTATACACTGTTATATATTACTCGTGTTGTTTATTTCTTTATTTTTGGGTCTCTGTATATGATATGTACTTGCATCATGCCAAAATCTAATGTGGAAGCTGAATAAAATAATCATTGGTGTAATTTAATGTGATTTTGGATTCGTATCAAGTACTCATCAATTAGGATCCTGTGTAGAGTACTACTTCGTTTAAATCCTTGGCTTTTGGTTTGTATGCTCTTACCGTTAATTGTACGTAGAGTTTGCCTCTAAGAATTTCTTGTCTGTGTAGTCTTATGGCATTAAAGTTGGATATGGAGGTATACAAGGAAATGCCGCTGGTAGAGATGCGTCAACTTCTCAAAGCGGGGCCTGCTGTGGTTAAAGTTCCATCCAATGTTGGTGCCGGAATTCTGCACTTCTTCAGTGGTTTGATAGTGGGGTTTGTTTATTACACTAGTTCAACATTTGTGATTATTTATGCACATATTCCTGTTTCGCCATCTCTATGTAAAATCTTGTTTGCTTGAAATTTAGCTGTGGGAGACATAAATATTATATGTTAATTTGTTATTTCTTTCAATGATTTATGTTTATATGTCCGTGGAAGGCATGGATTGCTAAGTTTTGTGATTCTGTATTTGTTTGATGTTATATAATACCCCCGCTGTTCGTTGTAACCAATTTACAAATTTTTAGTAACAATTGTTTTTTGGAGAACATGAGGGGCAAGCCCGAAAAACGAAGAAACTACAAGCCACAAACTATAAAGAAAAACGACAGAATAAGAAAACTACTTAACTAACAAATAATTAATAGATTAGTTATTATTCTCCAGCACCATCCTAAGTAGTAATTAAGTATCACCCTTCCTCTAATAGAGCGGCTTGAAGATCCTTTATGACAGCTTCTAAGTGGACTAATTACTTAGCTGACGAGATGCCATAGTTACATTTGTTGCCACCAATTGATTTTGCGGTGTTTGGTTTGGAGAGGTTTGGGGCAAATGAGAGGTTGTTAACTTATTCAAATCTCTAATGTGACTGTTTGGTTGAGAGAGGGCTTAAGAGGGTTATGAATTTAAAAGGCTACTATTGAAAAAGGTTAATGATCTATAGTACTATAAACTAATTTAATGCATCTAAATGCAAACACAACTTACAAGGTTTGTATAGAATTTTAGACACTTAAAAATTAGCACAAAAATAAACCATTTCGAAACAAAAATGCTGTACAATGAAATTATATCAACACAATCAGCATTTAAAATTAACCATTACTCGTATTGATTATAGTATGGTTAAGTTGGAAAAGAAATGAAGAATGGAGGAAGTACTGGTTTTAATTTTACAATATTAATTTATTTATTTTTGGCATTGTTTACCTACTTCATTTTCACTATCATTGATTTTTTCACATATTAAGCAAAACATAATTGTGTTGTACGAAGTATCTTATTAGACTCGCATAATTGTTTAGTTTCAAAGTAACTATTTTAAATTAATTTTTCCTTTTATAATTGACAATTAATAGTATTATGGTTGATGTTATACAATCACAAACTTATACAATCAGATATTTTATTTTTTTTAAAAAAACGAGCGACTATTAATCACCAAAAGCATATAAATTCAATCACTCATCTTTTTATTTTTCATTTTGCAACAAAACAAAGCTCAAATTAAAAGGTATCCTACCTCCGTTCGTAAATTTTATTCCTTTTTACAAAATAAAATTATATTGAGACAAGCACCATCCAACCATGAACAATTTTATAGAGATGGAGGAGGTAGTAAACAAGTACTTCTTTCGTTTCGTAATAATCGTAACACTTTCCTTTTACATCTGTTTTATAATAATTGCAACGCTTCCTTATTTGGTAAAGACCCACTACAATTTTATTATTTATCTCTCATATCAACATCACTTACACTACTTAAATTATTATTATTTCTCTCTTCTACTAACGATAAAATATATCCCACTATCTATACTGTATAATATAAAATTCATGTTTTGATCCCCGCCTTATAATTTTTCTAAAACTTTGTGCAACATCTATTGTTGTAATTATGACGAAACGGGGAGAGTAATATCTAGGCTCAAATTTCTAATAATTAAAGGATGGGCTAATTTTTTTTAAACGGGCCTAAATATTGGACCTGCAAACCATAAACACATTCATATTCTATTCATCCACTCAAAACAAATTTCTCTTTCTCAAATTTCATTTCCCAATTAACTTCCCAGAAATTCCAATTTCGCTGGTTTTTCTTCAACCCTAGACAGTCAAAGGAGAGAGAAAGAGAGAACAAAATCGCCATGGAAGCAGCTGCAAGGAAATCCGGCGGAGGTCTATGGGAGGGCCTTTACCGTGTCTTCATGCGCAGAAACTCCGTCTATGTCACCTTCGTCATCGCCGGCGCTTTCGTTGGTGAACGGGTACGCTTTTTCCTCGTTTCTTTGATTTTATTTTTCTTTCCAGATTTTCTGATCTGATGTGATTTGTTGTTCTTCCATATTTTTACTTTTGAAATGTTGCGATTTTTTGCTTTTTTGTTTGTAACTTGCAATCCAATTGTTGATTTATGAGTTCCTGGATCTAATTAAACTGATTGTATAACGATGTGAGGATCAATTTTTGAATTAGGGTTGTTAAGAATTATTAAAGTGGATGCTGATTTATGAACAGTTGATGATTGCAATTTGTAGATGTGAGAATAAAAAACGTTTGTTGTAAGGAAGATACGCGATTAATGCCAGAAAAGGGGGATATTTTATAATTTATTTTATAATTTATTTGGGGAAAATAATTTATTTGTAAAATTATGGATTGATCCAGCCAAGTGATGAATTCTATTCAAAACCATATGTTTAAGCTTCCTAAGGTGCTAATTATCCAACTATTTATCATGCATCTAATATGATCTTCAGCATAAAACTCCCGGCGTTTAATATGAACCCTTCACACTTCCCATGTGTCATTGTTGATGATGAAATGTGTTGTATCGAAAATATATGTGATTGAGCTTCATGTTATTGCAGGCTGTAGACTACGGAGTTCATAAACTATGGGAGTACAACAACCAGGGGGTATGTTGTCTATCTCATGCTTGTTTGTTAAGTTCTATGTTCTTTTATGGATTTATTTAGATTGTGCCTCTATGTTTACTGCAAACATTGACGTACCGCATTAATTAGAAATACATGTAATGTCACTGCTAAAAATTGACGGATCATCAGCTGTAAAATACATTAGATGAATATGGGAGTTGTTTTGTCTATAGTTATTCCTTAACTGCTCTGATTTCCCCCCTGGGGTATCTATAATTTAACGAGGGAAAAAAACAATTAGGTTTTTTATTTGGCTGATTAAGAAGGTATTGCTGTACTAGCTAAGTTTTGCCTTTGAGCCCCCTAACCTTGATGCTTTTACTCTTTATGTTTCCTTTCCTTTGTTGTTTTTGATCCCAGTACATACTCTGCAAAAGGATATCTGTTCCCTTTCTTTCTAGAGTTATTTAATATTTGAGGCTCAGCATCTGCCTCTTGTTGAACGTCAAGAAGAATGACCTAGATAGGTGATATAAATGCTTTATATCTTACATTTTGGTCTGAGTAGTTTTGGCATAAAGTGTGATGGGGAAAGAGTGAAAAGAATTGGGAACACATGCTATTGCTAGTAAATTGCAGATAGTGTCTTATGTAGCTTTACTTGTATATGCGGATATGCCTTGAGACCCTTATAGGTTTTTGTCATACTTGTGAGTTTGAGAGAAAAGGAGGATGTTAGATTGACTAAAAAGGATTTGACCTGTTAGTGTGGGGCAGGTTAACTTTTGTATGTTTTTGTTGTTTGTTGTGAGATTGGTGACATCTGGTGCTATTAAGCCATGTCACTTCGACTTTCCAGTTTGTTTTCCATACTCATGATGTACACTTGGCACTCTGACTAGGGTGTGGAATCTAATTGACACATTAATGCTCACCTAGACACTTCAATTATCTTGAATCACATAATTTTAGAAGATAATGTGAAAAGAGAAGTTAGGAAAAGAATGTTGCGTAGGAAATGTGCTTACAAATGGGTTTGAGATAAGTTTTCAACAAGAATTAACAATAAAGTTCGTGTGAGATGACGTTGGAACTCTTGCTAAAAGTCCTCTAAAAACAGGAGTTCGCTTATGCCATGTCCTCGTTCCCGTGTTCAATTTAAGGACAGTGTCCCTGCATTATCAGCCTTGATATGTCTAAGCTAAAATATATGCCCTAACCTGACATGGCTGACACTATTATCCCATGTCTGAGTAACATAGCTATTAACCTAACACTCATATCCCATGTCTGGATCATGGTCTAGATTAAATGGGCTAAAGTAGATGTAACATGGTGATTAGAGGGTGGGAGTTTGATTGGATTGAAATTTGTTGGGGATCGCAATAATCTAATAATCATGGTTTCATTTTATTTTCTATATTATTATGTATTTCGAAAAATCATGGGTATGATTTGACTGAATAATTCAATACTAGTTTTGTACTGGGACTATTTTAGTACTGTTGCTTGTCTATTAATAAATGTTAATTGTATGATACTTGGTTTCAGGTTTAGAGTATTGTTATTTTAAATAGATTTCTTGAGTAGATCACTTTATGTCAATGCCCCATTTTGCTCTTCATTCTACTGGGGGTGAGAGGTTGGCATGAGGGATGTCAACAGGAAGGCATAGAATTTTGATTTTCTGTAAGTGTGAAGCATTCTTTGTCAGAGAGGAAGAGGAATGAAAACTATGCAATTCAGACACATGCAAACTGGACTTTCTGATGACACCTCTTTCTTTCATATTTGTATGTGAAGCTTTATAAATCGGAATGCCTTCCTCAGTCAACCAGACAGTTATATACACTTTGTTACTTCTAGTGGTTTTTAGATGGGGATTGTGAACTTGTGTTGGGTTTTTACTAGAAATTAGTTTATTGTTTCTTGAATGAGGGACAATGTTGTTGCTAGCTTTAGCAAACTGAGTAGGGGCTATTGTGGATTTATGACATTTATCTGTCAATAAAGCAGAATCATCTTGGTACATCAAGAATATCTGGCATTACCCTGGTGCAGTAGCTATACTTGTATATAGCTTGATCCTCAATTGTGAGCGAAGGGTGGTTATATTTGAGATCCATGAGGATGCTGAGGTATACTTGGGGAAGTTTGAAACCTACTATTCGCATAGTTGTCGGCTTGAACTGAAATATTTTTCTTTTATCAATAAAGGCTAGTAGGCCAGTTTGTAGTATATAACTATATATACATATTCTCATGAAACTTGTATACCTCGAGTCTCTATGTGCCATAGCATTAGTGCCTTAAGTTTCTTTTTTTCTTGATTATTAAATGCAAATTGCTGTCTTCAAAATTTATATATATAAAAAAAAAAGGCCCAAAATAATTCCTGTAGATTTTTGTTTTCTTGGAGCTGATTTTTAATTCCTCTTGCTGATTATGCAGAAACGATATGAAGACATCTCTGTGCTTGGTCAAAGACAATCAGAATAATTGATCTTTAATTTCTCTGGTGTCACCTTTTGAAAGTTTGTTGCATTTTGGAATTTAGATGGGATATTGAAAAGCCAGTTGGCTGTATTGATTTTGTAATAATGAACGTGGTTTCAATTTTGATTTTGACCAACCAAAGCTAGTCGATGGTTCGGATTGCAACTTAATATAATGGGAAATTTGAATATTTTCATGTACTAGCATATACTTCCAGTGAAGCAAACCTCTGTTCCAAATTCACTGGTTTCTCTCCTTTTCTTTGGCTGATGGTTTTATATACTGCGTAATACAGTATTTGTATTTCTTAAGATAATCTCAAATATATGTCCAATGTCCCACTTCTTTTTTTCTTAGGACTTGTCACCAACTTTTAAAATCAGTTATCTGATGTTATATGCGAATATAGATGATGTTGCACAAACTAAAAATTCGGGGAGTGTAGTATGGACAGATTGGTATTGTATTGTCATATTCATGAAAAATTGACAATCTACTCCCTCCGTCTCATATTATAGTTCCTGTTTTCCTATTTTGGAGACCCAAAATGTTGTTCTTGTTTCTATTTTTGAATAGTATTAAAGACTATTATACCCTCATTTTTTTTAACTTTATTCATTATACTTCCTAAATTACCCTTAAATTTTCCACTTTCTTTCTCTATCTTTTGTCTATAATTGTACTTTTCACCTTTATCCTTTATTTATGTGTTTCATTCACTTTCTCTTATCCAACTTTTGTCTATAATTGTATTTTTTACTTTTTTTTTTATTTTTATTTATTTATTTATTTATTTTATTTTTATGTATTTCATCCACTTTTTCTTTTCATTTCTTAAATATCGTGAAAAAACGCAACCATGAATTATATATTGGGATGGAGGGAGTATATATTTACTTGTGAAAAAAGTAAATACCAAGGAGGAAGTTTGTTATTAAAGGCGTCAAGTTTGCTATTCATTCTCGGTTTTGTGGCCACCTTTGCTGTAAAGTATCAACGTGCCTAGCCTTTTCATTTTGCCATGTAAACAATAAAAATATTTCAATCAGAAGTATTAAGGAGCACGATTCAACATATTTCAGAAATAACGTGTGACCACTAGATAAAATTTACTTATTTCAGAGATGTTACAAACAATACAAAACGTTCACCAAAAAAATAATACAAATCAGAGGTTTATATTCATCAAAGCTTTGCCATCACATGAATATAAATACAAAAGGTAGCAACAGTCAATAGCAATGGGAATAATCCTCGACATCAACTTGCATTATAGTCTAAGTTACATCGTGATAGTGGGCATTAATTTCAACCCAATGGTATGCTTATCAGTATTAGGGATCCACAGATGTTTGTAGCTGAGCCAAAAAGAATCGGAATTTGCCATGACCATATGTAAGTATACTATATGAAGTTTGAACTACTGCTTCACCATGAATGAACTTTTACAACTGCATCCACCTACAGCGCTTGGATTTTCAACGACCTGCATGTTAAAACACTCAGACATTTAGCTAATTAATACATCAAAAATAGAGCCCAGGAGCAGAAAAGATATCCACAAACAGGCATGACAAGTGCGCGCGCGCGCGCACACACACAAAAAAAAAAAAAAAAAAAAAAAAAAAAAAAAAAAAAAAAAAAAAAAAAACTTTGCCAAACTCATAGACTCATAGTATAAACCAAGGAACTTAAGCCCACCAGCACATGATATTTTACCATAAATGATTACGTCAAGGAAAGGTTATCTTAGAACTCTAGAAGACATTTACAAATTACTGAGGATCTTCATAATCAAAATCCTCATCATTCCTGCAAAACCCGCAATCTCATTCTATGAATCCATGATTACCCTAGCAGCATGCAAAAGACTTTAAGATGGATAGTACAGAGCAGTAATACAGTACATTTTCACTAACAGGAATTGCAAGAAATGAGCATCTTCTTAGAAAAAGATCTGGACTGTACAAACTTCTATAGCACATAAATCTAAGCTTGTGTGCCTTGACTGCCTTCCAGATTTTACAGCATTATTAAAACCTACTGCCTCCATACCATACTTTACGTCCCACCTCTAAGCAGGCATAGATAATTAAGAAAAAAGCGAAAGTGGAAGATATAATTAGAACCAAGAGTAAACATGGGAGTGATGGGACACAGTGAAATTCAGTTTCTTCTTTAATCTTAATTATTAATAAATTCAGTGAGCTGCAGAGATCAACATTCAGATAAAATTCAAGCGAAACTGATATTGCCATTTAACCCTATATCTCCCATCATTCAACAGATTTGGCCTTATTAAAAATGGCTTTACTTCATCATCACATGGCAGAATTGACAGGAGGTAAATCATACAGCTTCAAACAAAGAGAACCTCACTTGGTTTGCATACAATAATAATCCTCCAACTCAAATAAATGCCTCAATAGATAGCAGCATAATTACAAGAAGCACCAATGGGAAAAGAAGCAAGGAAAAGTAAAGAGAAAAAAAATATCATTTTCAAAAGCATAAGGACAACAATTATGGCTTGAGACATCTAAATTGAGATGTGAGTTTAGATTGTTCTGCAATCTTTATATTGAATATGAGTATCTTTTAACAAATTGTACAGTATACAATGTAGTCATAGGATTGGAATCTTGGAATAATGATAAACATTAGTCATTAATCATTTAACACTTCGCAATAAATACGACTTGTTTAAAGCATGCTCTATATTGCAGATTACTATGATGTTGAATATAATACATTCTCAGTCCTTCCACCTCACAAAAAATGCGCAATTTAATGGAATGTCCTCTAATGATAGTATTCATTAATTACAAGTAGTTTATAGCAAATAATAATTCCCCTTCTGACTCTTAACTTTCCCTCACATCATTCAATCTAAAACATACAATGTAAAAGAAAATGGACTACAATTAGCATAAGACAACAATAATGACAAGTCTATATAATTTTTCTTCAAGGCTTTTGAATATCATAGCGGACATATCCACCGAGGTAAACGGAGTAAATAGTAAGCATTTTAGCAGTACACATCAAGTTTTGTAGCCACGAAACATGTAAAAAGGGAGGATATGTATCTTCTAACATAATTATAGGCTAAAACACCCAAACTCACCGTGGATCCAACCATCAGCAATATATACAGAGTTCTATATGTCTAACCTTGTGTCAAACAACACTCTGTAATCATAGGTTAGTCCTTAGGCCTAAAAAACAATATAAGTCAGAATATCATTTACATCAAAAGCATCTGATTTTTTTTTATTTTTTATTTTTTAAAATTCAAAAATCATTATCAACTAAGCCCTCACTCATAACAAAGTTTGAATTATAACATGAATTCAAGCAACAGTAATCTGTGATTTTCGTTTCATAATGCTTTATCAAATCTATCTATTTCTTACAGTGAAATGGTTTGTCCCATGAATCAAAAGTAGGCAATTAAATCCACAGAAGCAGTCCTAGTGCTAACCCTTGTTTCACTTTCTCCTTAACCCTGAGTAAACAGGGCCAATTCATTCACCCCCTACTCGAGTAAACAAGGCCCATTCTTTCACCCTCTAGTAAAAATTGCAAAGTTCAGAGCTTTTCTTCTTATAATGTTTGCAGGATATCAACAATGAACCACACTATTGCAGCAACAATATTAACCAATTTTTAGTAAGTTAAAGTGATTGCTAGTCAAATTAAATTACCTTTTACAAGGGGAAAAAAAAACACTTTACTGGGAGTTTAAGCCAGTGAGAGCATCTGTAATTCATGAATTCACTATACACCAATACCACATATGATATACTACGTACCAAACTTTTCAAGAAAAGAAGACTGGCCTGGAAAGCTGAACGAATAAGCTCCTCGACATAATCAATACTCGAACCTTTAACAAAATCATACGAAATTTTATCGATCACCAACTTGACACCATCCTTCTCAAAAATTCTACAAAATCGAATTTGCACATAAACATTGTATCAGCCAATGACACAACAAAACAATAAACAATATTCTTGTTAACAAATCTATAGAGAAATCATAGGCATGAAAGATATAAAACAAAGCTAATCACATGGAAAACCACCTAACAAACAAGTTTTAGATGAAAACGACAAACAAAAGAAGCAACTACCATTCTCTTGCAACCAAAAGACCAAATGAAGAAAAACCCCACTACCTGTCATCATTGTTTTTGTTATCATCCAGCGCAAAAGCATACTGGAAACCAGAACATCCACCAGCTTCTACACTAAGACGAAGCATCTTTTTCCCATTTTCGCTAGCTTGCAATTCTTTCATCCTCTGAAATGCATCACCCTTAAAGTCAATCAAATATCCATAAAGAACATAATGCCCCGCAATTATACATACTACCACCATTTCATATTATTTGCAACGATTTGACATAAAGTGTGAGTAGAAAATGTCTAATCGTTGCAAATAATATGAAACGAAGGTAATACTATAACAACTATGTGACCACAGGTTAACCTAGCAATCCAATGATACAGTCTTAGATAGTACTTCACGACAAGATAAAGCTCCTCTCCTCTGAACAAAATTGATCGATACAATAGGAATCTGACATTTCTGTTCCTACTGACCTACTGTCTGGAAAGGCTGTTTCTGCAGGTTCAAGAGTTCCAATTTTTGAGTATATATATGTTAAGCACTGTTGGGAAACTGGAGCTAATGAGCATGATTATTTGAGAAGTAGGGGCACTCAATGTGAAATAGAATTGTTCTTTCCACTCTGCTTCAATGTGTGTTAAATTTGGCTCTTTTTGTTGTTCAACCCCTGTACAAAGGTAATGAGATTCAATTTGGTTTAAAGTTGAAATTGTTTTCCCTCACTCATCTAATAACTGTTTTAGCAATTATCAAAACGGATTATATGTAATCAAATATTTTTAATCAATTCATATGCATTTTCAAACACGCTTTGGGGGGGGGGGTACGGAATGGAATGATTATAGGTTCAAAAATAATCTCCGTACATACCAAGACTTTAATCATTAATCAGCTAAAAGAAAATTAGTCTCTAACCATTGATACACTGTAGGTCCAAACATTAGGCATCCTCAATTTAGAAGAAGCAAACCCAGAACAAAAAGGTAAATAAATAAAAATAAAATAAAAAGATGCAGGCATAACTGGCCAAAGAAAAACCAACTTCAGGTCACTTAGTTACAGAAGCTCACAAACTGTCCGTCAGAGTACTGCTCACTGCCCTAAAATTGCTGAAATTAGCCATTCAATACAAAAGCCCTATTGGTTTTTCCTTAGCATATCCTCAATATCTGCAACTCCAACCATACTCTATATATCCTCGTTTTGAAAACTACCATCAGGTGTTCCCACACATCCATCTCAATTTTCACAATATGCATGTGTTATGCTCACCCCATCTCAATTCTCAACATACGCATCTGTTTTATCTTTCCTTAAAGTCTAACATTTCTATCATATAACGCTGGTTAAAATTTGTCCTATAGAATTTCCCACACTAGCCTCACAAGTAAACTACAGTTGCAGACTTGCAGATGCTGCTCTCCATTTGAGCCTCCTCAACTATGAGTTGCATCTTGGTCAATACATTAATTTATTTGTAAAATGGATCCAAGGCACTTAAACTCGCTTAGGGGTAAGACTTTACCATCTAAAAAATACAGTGTCCTCCCTTAGCTCCCTCCGATACTTTGCACGCCATGTACATGGTTTTACTCCAACCTTAGCTTCAATTGCTACAGCTTAGCATTTACCTTAATTCTAATGAGAATATAATCTCATCCACCAGTTTGATATCATCCGCAGGTGACATGCACCACGAAATGCCATCCTAGATAGACCGTGTTATTTCATCTAAAACTTCAGAAGAGGAAAAGATACACATGGCCTAGGTTAAGTCCAATATAAATAAAGAAATTCTCTTTTACTCTTCCACAAATCCTAAAATTTGTTTGTATCTTTAGCAAGGTAAAAATATATATGGTGCGATCAAAATTTAATAAATACCATTGAAAACCTGTATTAACACAAGATCAATCCTTTATGAGCACCACTCCATACCTCCATCCTCACCTTTCACCAAGAAAAAAATTTATTTATCCCAAACAAACTATGCAATTAGCTTGATTATCTACTTCGTCGACTAGTAACCCTTTAGAAAATTGTTGATTATCATCCTAACCTTACCTCTAAAATCCAATCCCAAACTATAAAGTTCAACACCATCCCATACTCAAAATTTCCCAACAAAATCATAAAATTCCAAAAAAAAAAACATAACTACAAAATCAGAGCTCCCGAATGCGGTTGAAGATTCTACAGTTCCAAACATTTCAAAACCCTAAATCAATGCCAACTTCTTTGACAATCAACACATCCTTAACACAGGTCTCCAGTAACCAAATGGAAATTTCAGCAATCGATAAAAATTAAAACTTAGGATGTAAAATACTCATCACTTACAGCGTATATAAAAGAAATACTCGCAATTCAAAAGCAGAAATTTAAAATTCCAATTTCACATGAGTAATACAATTAATTGAATTACTCTATAGTTATTTGATTACTACAAAATAAAAGAGAATTAAATACTATAATCAAGCAAAAAAAAAATTGAAAATGAAAAATTAAGATAGAATTTGCAACAACAGCCACAACAAAATTGAGGAGAGAGAAAGATTACTCGAACACAATTATCAGTAATATGAATGTCATCTTGAGGCGAAGAAGAAGAATCCGAAACAGCAGCAGAAGTAGATGAAGAAAAGGAATTGGAATTTGAGGTGAGAATCCTGCGATTGTGGCGGATTCGAAGAGCGAAATTTGAAGAAAATCGAGCTAATATTGATCTTGTCGCCATGCTTCTTTTGAGTTCGTTCCTCTTCTGTCTTCTTCCCTCTCGATATCTTTCGCTGTATTTTTTTTTTTATTTTTTTTGGTAAATAATCTTTCTTTCGCTGTATTCAAAAGTTAAAATCGTTAAACCGTGTTTTTATTTTGGACGAAAAGATAAGGTCGAAGTCGTATATTTGGTAAGTCCGTAACTCGGTAGGAGTAGGATTGTATCACAAGGCTACGCCTATAAATATATGATGTACATACTCTTTGTTTTATTTTTATTTTACTTTTTATACTGAGTAATTAGATACGCATTGTTCACCTCCGTTTCATCATGATGATCAATGAAAAATCAAATTTTACAGCCCCTACTAAGACAGATTTTACAGCCCATACTAAGACGATTTTTTGTTTATGCATAATATCATTAATTTTTGTATCTTCACTACTTACGGCATTTGTTTTCCTTATCTTCTTCCTCGACGCAGAGTTATCCGGCCCTCAATTTAGATTTGAGGTTGATTCTCTTGAGGTGAAATCATCAACTATGATGATTTCGAATAATAATGATAGTGTAGGTTTGGATCTAAATGTAACCCTATCCCTAATTAACAAGCAACCAATATTGTTTGAGTCATTCATGGTATTACTTGCTTACAACAATGATGAATCTGTCATCTCCTCAATTACACTTGATACTTTTTACGAAAAGAGTCTTAACCAGAAGAAAAAGATGCAAATTGGGATGGCAATTGAGAATTTTACAAAAAAGGAACAAAACTTCGAATTGGAGTTCACTTTAAAAATTGCAGGTCATTATCGGAGCATTAGGGACCAACGAGAAAGTGGTACGGACCGTTTCAAGATTGCTTGCAAAGGCATTAAAGTTGTACTACTTACATCCTCGTCTAATATCACATCAGGATATATGCTCAATGGGCCACTCCCTTGCAAATGAGTCGTCAAGTATTAGGGTAACCAAAATTGTTTATTCTTGGATTACTCAATAAAAATTGTTGGATTGTATTGGAAATATGATTAATCTATGTATGTTAGCTTATGTTTTTTCCTATTTTCTAGCCTAGATTAAGTTTGTTTGTTATGCCTTCTGTACACCACTACTTGCGTATAAATATTGGTATTCTAATTCTAAATAAAATCATTAAGAATTTTTTTCCTTATAAATAGTTCGTTTTTATATATTTATATATACTATAGATTTTATAATTTTCATTTTAAATATTCAATATTAGCGAACACTCTGTGCACCGATATTGTCATATTACTTTTAATAGAAACCAAAAGTTACTTATATTGAATTAGTCTTATGCAGTTTTGTGGAAACATAAATATAATTTGGTTAATTTAGTCAGATCAATGTATCAGTAGAAAGCCCAAAATATTCCTACACAATTATAAATTGCTAATTAATGACAGTTATAAACACGGATAATGATATTACTTGTACATACAATCATATGCAACTTACATTATACTCCGTAATTACCAAGAATATATTACCTAGGCTATGTAGAATGTAGACTACCCCCTACCCCCATTAAGTAGAATGTACAGCAAATCCTAGATCAATTACTTAGCACAGTAAACCTGGTAAGCAGGGGCTTTTTCGGCAACGTTAAACAATGTTTATGTCCCTATCAAACTCCACAAACTAAATGGTATGTTTGATAAGTGGGCGTTTGCTGGGAACATGACTGTTGTCCATGTTACTTCAAAACTCCCCAAAATGTCTAAGTTTACAGAAACAAATAAGGTTTACAATAATAGTAGAGGCATAGCCATGTTCCTGACAAAAGGCGGTTGACATAAACCGCTGGTGCTAGCAGCGCACTTAGTTTTATTAAATAATGGCAAAATGCGGCAGCATCAATGTACAAGCATGAAACCTCGAGGGCTCAAGATTCATCAGGAGATGCAGAAGGCGAGTTTCACTAGCAGCTGCTACAGTGGCTGCAAAGACTGGTTCAGGTGCAACAGCAGAAACTGAATCTTCAGTGGCTGCAAAGACTGGTTCAGGTGCAGCAGCAGAGGCTGACTTCAGTGTCATAAAAAATCAGGGCCCTATGAAGTCTCTTTCTCGGTACAGTAGGTGACAAACCCACCTAAGGAAAAAACTCCTACAAATGGGTATTGATCCAGAAAAGATTAAGAAAAGACTTGCCCCAATATATTGCCTCAAAAAATCAGAATGAGAGAATAAACCACCCTACCAAGATGTTTAACCATGATGGCAATTCATAATCAGAGTAACTGTACTGTACTGTCTTCCATTTCAAATACCATATTATGCTATAAGTAATCAGAATACCTTTATACGTATCACTGGAATCCAGAGCTGAGTGGAATTCTAAGGTTTCACCTTGTACATTGAGGGTCTCACATGGTAATCATAAATGTCTATTTTCATCAATTAGTCTCAATCAACATCCCACCACACTATATATGTCCTTATCCAATCTTTAGTAAGATACTTCACGAACAATTATAGTGTTTAACTTAATTAAACAACAATAAGGAATCCCTAAATTCAGAAAGATACTCCTGGAAATGAGGACTAAGATGTTTAGTTGCTTTTATTGATAGTGACTCTCATCCTAGCCCCAAAACTTGAGTTTCCAAAAAATTTAAGACGAGCAAAAAAAAAAATTTCAAAACAGAATAAATTCATATCATCCACAGTAAGGATTTTAGAAATTGAACAATTCACAATTATCTGGTGGTTCAGAAAGAAATTAAGTACATACGAAAAAAAAGCAAGCTGCTGATGAGAAAGATAACATAATCAGACCCAGCACACATATAATCACTATTTGCTGATCCAAATAGATGATATTACTTCCACTTATGCTGTATCAAAGATCTAAGGCTGGCTAACAACCATAGATAGTCATATTTCTTCACCTCACACATGCACTGACACACACACACACACACACACACACACACAAAAAAAAAAAAAAAAAAAAAAAAATCACCCAAACACCTTATGATTACTACTCCACAACCTACTTCACACACACAGGGAAAAAAACACTAATTACCAATGAAGTGTCATTAAACCACTAAACAAAACATGACACCACGATGGCATGATTTAATCATGATATTCATGAAAAGGTCAGACAACAAACTATCACAAGTCATCCAACATTCCAAAATGTCCATTGAAGCAAGGTTGAGCATTTTCTGGTCACAGAAACCACAATGACAAAATTGAGAATCAAATCAAGCATTCAAGTAACAGAGGCTTAGAGTCATAAAGGAATGTAAAACTTACCAAGCAATCTCCACATCGTACCAATTGCTCACTATTCAAGGTTCCAAGCAAAAATTACTTTCATTGTAGGAAGTTGGAATAGTAAAATGTAACAGAGATGGGGTTCATTCTTTTAGGCCAAATGAAATAGACATCTGAAAAGATTAAGTCCATGCAGCACATTGAAATTCATCGAGATTGGGTAAAACAACTAGTTTATATAACAGGAATAACTAACCACTGGCTCATCACATCCACAATTGACCAAGTGAGCCAAATTTTCACCAAAACAAAATATAAATAATAAAACCCCTTGCCTTTCCGCTTTAGGAATACTACACAGAGTTTAACCAAAGCTTGATACAGAATGCAAAATGTCATCAAAATAACATCATTATCAGCATACACTACCTTCAGCCTGAGAATGCATGCACCAAAAGTTTAAGTTTGTTTGAAGTTAAGTATCCACAAAAACTATAAAGTTGTGGTGCATTATCTTAGACATGGTACATAATTAATTCAACATAACAATTCAATTTAATATCTGAAGAAAAAACACTAGGGCAAACTTTTTGACCGGAAAATCTAGTTAGTAACCACACACAAAACAATGTCCACCATGGTACGCTTATAAAGGCTTCAAACCAGTACAGGAAACTAGGTCAATAGTTCACTCTGCATCTAATATCCAAGGAGCCAGTTATCTGTATAAACTGGATGATACCCAAACCTCCTAATAGATTCAAACTGAATTCAACAGACAAAAAATTCAACACTTTTGCATCCATCAGTGATAGCGATTCTAATCAGTTTAAGTAAATGCATCAATAAGCCGCTAGTGCAAGCCAACAAGAACTGAGGGGCCTCACTGTGCCCAAGATTCTGAATAAATGACGAGTTGAAACCTAATACAGAGTATGTGCTTTAGACAATCAACCTAAAGGCTAGTTCCATCCATGTATCCAGAACCATGGTTCATTTGCCAATAAAGTCCAAGCAGCAATACTTGTAAAAATCAACTAAAAACACACTATCAGTGCAAAATAAGTAGGAAAAAGGCGCGAAGAATTGGATAGACTAAATGGACAAATTCATTGATATAAGGTGCCCAAAATAGACACATGTTTTAAAATTTCCTTAGGAAAGAAGATTACAAAACTTGTAAAGAAAGAACAAACTAAACACTTCCTAAAACATCAAAGCACCCTCCCTTTTTCGTTGACAACCCATTTCAAGAGTATTTCAGATAAAACCTCAATTCCAAAGCCAAGATGGAATATACATCATTTGATATCCAACACCCAACTAATAATGTCTCCACAAACAAAAGAAACACTAGTCAGGTAGAAAAAGAAAAAAAAGAACATCATCAACAACAACAACAAAAAAAATTCATTGAAAAAAAAATAAAGAAAAAGCCTAATTGTTCACCAGTCTGTACTATCACCTATCCAATGAAATAATTAAAACCTCCAATTTCTTGAACTTTTTTGGGGGCAGGGGAAAGAAGAAGAAGAAACTGTCACCTACTGTAACAAATTTATTCTGCATTTCATCATCAGCAACCAATGTTATCCACCAATTTACTATTCTCTTCACTTTCCTCATTCTCCATCACTTCTCTTCTCGCGACAACATTCCAGAAGAAATCCGTCATCACACTCTCATACGGCGGCATCTTCGCATAGCCTGTACAGAGTAAAATTAAAAAGTCAAAGAGTGAGAAGTTACTGAGATAATTTAACTAAACCACTATCTATCTTCAAGAAAGCTTCACCACAATGACACGATGTCACTTATGATGTCTAATGTACATTTTTCCTTCAAATTCTTAAGTTATTCATTGGCCATTAAGAATTGTGTATGTTTTGTAGATATCACTTATGAGGTGGCATCCACCATAGACTGAGAAGCGGAGTTAATACACTAACCTTCAAAATTATTGCCAGAAAGGCCCTAATAATAATGTAGCAAATCAGCAGAGCGGTACACAAAATACATGTGTGGTGAAGAAGCTTTCTGAGATGAAGTGTATAAAATTAAATGCAACTCACCCTACGTCATTGTTCAAAATTTTGAATTGATGCCTAAACGCAGGTCATACATCAGGTGGGTTGTCAGCTGACTTGTTACTTGGATGCTGAACATAAGCTGTGTCTATCAGCAACTCAATCAGACGACTACTACCCAGCTGCAGCGTCATGGAAAGCAAATGTGCATCAGAATCAGAAAATTGCGTAACAAAGAATGTGCCTTACAGGTATAACTATTACAAGAAGAAAAGTTATCACCTTAGCTTGAGTGTCATGACTCCATGACTTGTTATCTTCAGAAGTCTTTGCTGCCTGCAAATAATTCCAAATGCAAAAACAGGCAACTTAGATCCTGCAATTGTTGCTATTCGACAAAGGGGGGAGAGGAGTCTTACAAAAAGGAAAAAAACAAACCAACACCTTACAGATAAGCCTTCAAACACAATCCAAACAACAGTATAACTACATGTATAGATCAAGAGACCTTTCACACAACAGAAGACCACTTCCCAAACAACATAAGGCCACCTCCCAAAATAACAACTACTGTTTTAAGAGCAATCCACTGGTCAATCCCTTAAAGGCAATACTACACAAAAAGATACAAATCAGGCTTCAAGTAAACAGAAAATACAACAAATATTTTATGTTTGCTAAAAAAACATGCAGACATCAACAGAAATATAGGCAAGAACTCTAAAATCATTCCAAATGGCCTGGCCAAATAAACAGAAAGCCTTCATACAAGAGCTAAACTAAACAATCAAAGGAAATTAGTATCCACTTAAGGATTCTCACTTTAATAAGCAAAGGGACCACCACCACCCTCATCGGCACCGGCCACCCTATAGCCAGCACAAACCCAGCCCACTGACCTTGAACCAACTCGAACCCACCACCACTGAATCATGAACCACCCTAAAACTACCCCCACTCACATGAACATGAACCACCACAAAGAACCACCGCGAAATCCCCCCTCACCTGAAACCAGCCTCACTCGCCCACGATTCACCCAAGAAAACCACTCCCTACCCTAAACCAGCTGAAAAATCGAACCCGTTGTCACCCTGAACCAACCCGAAACCCACCCCATCATCCTGAACCACCATCCTGAACCAACACCCCATCATCCTGAACCACCTCGAAACCCACCCTCACTCCTCCCTAAACCACCCTTAACCTGAACCCACCCCCACTCGTTTTTTTTTTTTTTTAAGATATTATTATTGCAGTAATAAGGGTAATAAGGGTAATTCGGTTTATTACAGCAATTATAATAATAATAAAAAAAAGTATTCCACTTGTCATCAATTAATAAAGTAAAACCCAGCTATATTAAGTAAAATACTCTACTCGTAGTAGGAAAGTGGAGCAAAGCTCGAGACTTCACCATAACCATGGAGCAAGACGGTGGCAATGCAGGCCCGTCCCTGAGGCAGGGCAGGAGGGGCGGCCGCCCTAGGCCCAGGGAAAAGAGATTTAATTTCATATTCAATTATCTCCAAAAATACATAATTTTAGGGATATTTCATTCAATATTCTAAGAATTTACGAACCCTAAACTTAAAGCACTGATAATTAAATTAGATTAGATCAAATATAAACCCTAGATTATGAAATTGATGTGATGATAACAACAACAAACAACTTACCTTAGAAGCTGCTTCAATGGGGGATACAAGAATTAGATTCAACGGGAGAACGCTTCAATGGAGAACGTTGAGTGCGCTTCAATGAAATAACTCAGAGAGGTAGGAAATAGGAATGGAGGCCTTTAAAAGCCATGACCCGCCATAGTAATAGTGAACTGTTAAACATCGCCCGCAAATTCCTACATAAAGCCCACAAAATAAGAGTGAAATGACACTTTTGCCCTCAAACTAAAAAACACAATTTCTCTCTCTACTCTCTACTTCCACTTTCTCTCTCTAAATTATTTCCCGAGCTATGTCGAGGCGGCCCGGCAAGGAAGTGGCGGCTCCGGCGGTGGGCGGAAGGCGGTTTGCCGGCGAGAAGGTAATTTTTGTAATTTTTGTAATTTTTTTTTTAAAAAAAAAAACCTCCGGCGACGGTGGGGCGCCAAGGCGAGACGCCACCACCACGGAGGAGGCGCCTAGGCAGGACGCCCGTACGGTGGAGGCGGCGCCTAGCCCAGACGCCACTACCACGGCGGCGGCGGATAGGCTAGGCGCCACGGCCGTGGTGGTGGCGTCTGGGCTAGGCGCCGCCACCACCGTACGGGCGTCTTGCCTAGGCGCCTCCTCCTTTTTTTTTTTTTTTTAATTTTTTTTTGTTTTTTTTTAATTTTAAATTTTATTTTCGAATTTTTTTTTTTTTTTTTTTAAAATTTGTTTTTAATTTTTTTAAATTGTATGTTCCCTATTTTTTTTTAAATTTTGTTTTTTTATTTGTTTTAATTTTATGTTCTATTTTTTTTAAAAAAAAAAATTGTTTCTGGTTTTAATTTTTAATTTTATGTTCCTATGTATTGTTTATATTACATGTTTATATTGCATATTACATGTTTTGTTATTTTGTGTTAGGCATCGTATTTTCGTTCTGGGGCTGGGAAGAGTATGGACATTATGAGAAGTACGATCAACTCAATGGAGAGCTCGGGGCCCAGACACGTTAGATCCCGTGGTATTTCGGCCTCGGCTCGTAGAGAACGGGTGCACTATTCTGAGGATGATGAAGATGATGATGGTGATGAGGAGGAGGAGGAGGAGGATGCAGATGAGGATGTGGACGATCAGAGTGGACCATATGATGATTACGGTCCATTCAGTCAGAGGCTTGATGATGTGTATGAGACGCGTAGGGTAGACGTGCGTAAGGGTAGAGATGGTAGATTTGTTAGTAGATCTGGCACATCATCTGCGTCCACTGTGTCTGCGGTTAGCAGAAAACGGTCGAGGGTCGTTAATGATTCTTGGGTGGTGAGGGGCGAGGTGGCTGGGGGACCTATAGACGGGAGTGTGATTCCTAGCTTTCTAGGACACATCGCTACCCGTATTTGGGAGGACCAAGAGCGGGCTTTGGATAGCGGCATTTTGAAATGCCAAACCCGGGAGAGGACTTGTAACTTCTTGTGTAGTTGGGCTGAGGCTTGGCCGGAGGAGAGCGAGATGGTCGGCCGATTGAGGGGCACTAGAGTGAGCCACCTTCCTGCCACCATGCATGAGAGGATTGACTCGACGCTGATCACGGCTTTCGTTGAGCGATGGCAGCCGGACACGAACTCTTTCCACCTTCCGTTCGGTGAGATGACGATCATGTTGCATGACGTCGAGGCCATCCTTGGGATTCCCGTAGAGGGAAACCGAGCATCTGTTGTCACAGATGCGGATCAGGCAGATTTATTGGCGGAGCTGTTGGCGGTGGATAGGGCTGCGCTGTACATAGCGGCACTTGGTGTGTAGGATCACGGCGGTGTTAAGATCGCAGCAGTTTTGCAGCGATGTTTGCACCCCACTTCACGTAGGACGCAGGACACACCCACTTCATATGCGATCATCTCATGGTTGTGATACCCCCATTTACCGTAACTCTTCACTTCCCAACCGTCACCCCTTTGCTGTTGTCGAACCTTTACTCTGAACTGACACCCACAACCTTTCCGCTTTGTATCAAACCGAATCGCTTGACTGAAATCTCGTTCCCCCCTTTTGCGATAACGGTCGCATCTCAAAATGCGATCCATTCTACCATCCCGTTGAGATTTATGAGTTGCTACTACTAAACAAAAACCTGATCTAATTGCAACATGTTTCGCCCAATCAACCGCTTGTTGAGCATCTTCGAACAGACCATCGTGTACAAAAATCCCACTATAATCATTTCCGTCTCCACCATAATCCTGCAACAATAACATATAAATATAATCACATAAGATTAGATTAAATTAATACATTTGACACAACATTAGCACAAAAGCAAAAACAATAATAAAATATAAACAACAAACAAAGAAATAAAAAACATAAACAAAAAGTATTCAAAAAAAAAAAAAACAAAACACAAAAATAAAAAACATAAACAAAACTTTAGATTAAATAAAAAAAAAAACCAAAAAAATAAAAACAAAAAAAAAACATAAACATAAAAAACATAGCGATCAAAAACACAAAAATCAAACACAAAATTTTACATTACATTTTAAAACAATTAAAAACAAAACAAAAAAAACCAAAAAAAAACGAAAAAAAATTGTAACACAAAAAAAAAAAAAAAACAAATTTTAAATTAAATTAAAAAAAAAAAAAAAAAAAAAAATGCAGTGGCGCCTAGCCAGGACGCCGCCACCGTGGCGATGGCGCCTGGCCAGGACGCCGCTTTCATGGTGGCGGCGTCTTGGCCAGACGCCACGGCCACGGTGGCGGCGTCCTGGCCAGGCGCCATACTTACGGAGGCAGCGTCCTGGCTAGGCGCCACCACTACGGTCACGGCGTCCCGGCAGGACGCCAGCCGCCAATTCGTGGTTTTAGATGGCTTCGTACCTCCTTTTCCGGCGTCAACGGCGTCTCTCCGGTGCATCTAGCCGACGTTGAGGGCTCTTCGGTTTCACTCGGCGATCCAGTCCTGCTCCTCATTTTTGGTGAGTGAAAATTTTCATTTTCGGTAAAAATTAAAACAAGGGCAATAATGTCAAAATTTTTAAAAAATGTGGGCTTTATGTAGAAAAACGCGGGCGATGTTTAACAAGTCCCTAGTAATAATATGGGTCGATAAATAAATGGGGTGAATCTTTATATGTAGTCTTCGTAAAAAGTAAATATGTTTTAAATATCAATAATAATAATAATAATATATAATTATATATTAAATTATTTTTTGGTGTGTCCTTAATTTATTTATTTTTTGAAAAAAAAAAATTAATCATAGAATAAAATCTTTTACGAAAATAATTTATTATATATGTTAATAACAAAGATAATTACTTTAAATATAAAAGATTTGATTTACCTTTTCACACAAACATTTATAACTATAATAGAAAATATTATTTTGATTTGCGACATAGAATGATTTACAACACGAGAATATTTATACTTTTGTCTCGTGAACCGCAATTTGCCCCAAAGTTGCAAATAAAAATTAACGGAGGGAGTATTTTTTTCCCTTAAAGTTGTTTATTTATTGATTAGAATGCACAATAGAGTAGTGCATATACTTTTACTACCCTTTGAATGATAATAACCCCGCCTTTTTCCCTTCTCTAAGTGAAAATGAGTTAGTGTTTTAAATTATTTTATTTTATTTATAGAAACATTACTATTTACTACTTTAATATATAAAATTTAGTTAGACTATACTTCATAATATTAATGTAAACACACACAAAAATCTCATGAAGATCAATATCACAGTATTATTTATTACCCTCATCCAAAACATGTTGATACTATATATAATTATATATTTGAATACAATATCTACACATCAATATTTCAATTACTTAATAGACGATTTTATTACTTTGTATTTAAGAATATCAAATCATTCAATTTATACTTATTAGATATATCCACTTATCTTTCATATTTTAATCAAAGATTGTCCATAGTGTTTTTAGATTTTTTTTGTTTTATTGTTGTAAAATAACCAATTATATTGAAAAGTTGATATTAATTTTTAAAAATTGTCGTGCATGGCACGAGACCTAACCTAATTTTTAATATTTCCATACACCAAAGCTTGTATCAATTCTTTGTAAGTTTTTTGGATTTTTTTTTTTTAAAAAAAAAAACAGCTGAAATTACATTAATTAAACTGAGTTTACAACAAACGAAAGGACTGTAAAGTAACATAACTTACTGTTGGCATAAGAAGCCCTTACACAATACCAATTAAGGTCATTAACGATATTTACCTTTAAGCTATTACAACGAGTGAGGACAACGCATATAAGGCTTACCAATATACATTTAAACATGCGATGGGACTATTGATAGAACAAGGGAAGTTGGTGATGATGTTTCGTGTAGTGCAAGGTATTTTCTAACATACAACTAAAAGTCTATAAATGTTGCTGAAATGACTAAGACAACCCAAAATCAGTATGCCTTACCCTAAGGGACCCCAATAATTCAAATGGTTAAAATTTTCTTGAGATCTATGCTTCATACATGTCAATCACATTTCTTGCGATTTGACAAAAGCATATCTTATACTCCCTCCGTCCCATAATATAGTTCCTATTATGTTTTTTT